CTGGGTCTTTTCCTTTCCTAATTACAGTTTCTATGACTTGCTTGAGGAGATACTTGTGAATGGATGGATGCAACTATGTCTCAAAAATATTTCTTTTGCAGAGGGAGGAAAGATTAATTTGTTCTACTAGGAAAAATGGGACTTTCTCCTCTTCTGTAACATCAATAATAAAATCCTTTGAGGGAGTGGGGAAATATTACTTAGGAAGTCTGCAATTTCAAGACTTACCTCTGGTCAAACTCTTCCTTGAACTCTTGAAATATGTTCTAAGTTTACAGAATTAGCAAGATGGCAGTTCAGAAGGTTCTTGCAGCTCTCATGTTTGTAATTCTTTATTTTTTTGTCGTTTTCATAATTTTACTGGGTGTACTTATTCTTGAACTGAAAAGCAGAATTACTAAGTGAACACTGCTTCTTAGATCCTGTGCTTAATTCTAACACACAAGGTAAAATCTCCCCTGGGGTGACCTCTTCTCTTAAATTTTAGTTCTAGATCTTCAAGCTGTTGTATACAGGTCTTTGCTGCAAAGGAGAAAAATACTGTGCTAATAGGAGGCATATTGCTGCCTGTGGATAAAAAGCCAAAGTCCCTCCTTGGCAAAATGAGGAGACATTATGGCAAAATGGAAAGCTGACAGTGTTTTGACAGGTGAAAATACAAATCCTGTATGAGATCCATCTCAGGGAAGGCAGATGATCTGCCTCAGTTCTGAAAGAACGGATGTTTTCCAAAGCACCTGAGAAGCATTCCAGCGAGTGTCCACTGCTTCTTCTCCTAATTGTGTGCAGTTTAATTTGCCACAGGTGGGTGAAGGATGAGCTGTGCTTTCTGGGTTTCTTAGTCCAAAACCTGGAATTCTCTGGAGCACTGGCAGCTTGTTTGTTGAATCATTCACTTGTGTACAGCCAGAGCTCAAACCTGTGGCCATTTTCCATGACAAAGAAACCAGAGACTGTTGTTGTTAAATCTCCTGCTCAGTCTTAGAGTAAAACTTTCTGTTGTTTTATGACTACCGGGGTTTTTTTTGCCTGAAGGAGAAAAGTGTTCTAACTGCTGTAGAGTATATTCCCACCAGTCCTGGTACACTTAGAACAGAGGTGTAGCTGCCTCTGTAATGTAAATGCCATACATTTCATGAACATGAAATTTTTTTTCACTGACTATAGGAAAAATGGCTAAGCATGCTCTTGTGGCTAAGAGTGGGATTAGAAACATGGATATCTAAACTGCTGTATTTATGTTTTATTTTTTTGTTGAGTTATTCTTGCTGACTCAATTTCTTCATTTATGAATAGGAAAAAAATTGATCTTGCCTAATCTCTCCATATATGAAAATTGTATATCCAAAGAAATATGAAATAATAAAATCATGTAAATCAGTAAATATCCATTTGTATGAAAGAAAGATTAAGAAAAACAAGGGTTGATATATTTTTCTTTTCTTTTTAGCTATTGCAAACTAATTTTGATTGATAAATAGTAATACCTATCTTAAGTACTGATTTGTTAATTCTGGTATTTAAATTCATAGTTCAACCAACTCAATGCATTTGAGAAACCTCCCATCCAGTTTTAATTGCCATCACTGTGTTTCTGGTGAGCTATCCTCATCCTAGCACCATGAACTGGGACTAGGTTCCCCTCCTGCCTTGCTGCAAATCCTGACAGACTGTGCAAATTGCAGTTCACTGTCATTTTGTTCTCTGAGATGGCTGGGTCAGCTGTTCTTTGCCTCTCTTCCTGGCAAGGTTGGCTTGGAGGTGCTTCCAGACATTGACTAGTGCTTTTCTGATTGCCAGGGGCTATCAGAAGCCATTCCAAGGGCTGTTGTGTGTTTGATTGATGGTTTGTCACCCTAAACCATACCTTAAATCTCCAGAGTTTGGCCCTTTCAGTCTCAGCAGCAGGCAGTTTCACAGTGGGTTTTATACCCAGCTTCTTGCCTTGTGAAGCTGTAGACTTTAAGGCTGCAATTAAGAAGTAATCATCCTGTGGAGACATCCAGAAAAAGAAAAGAAAAAAAAAAAAAAGGAAATTTGTAAATAAGCAGCTCTTAAATTGTTCTGACGTACATGGATGTCTGTCACAGCTTTTGGTAAATTGTGATGCAGGACCTGCAAAAAAGGGAAGCAGACACATTCCCATTTTCTCTCTGAAATGGCTGTAGGCTGGTGGTGAACAAAGCCTCTGCCTCTGCCCCTTCAGGGTGACATCTGTGTGCTAAAGAAAGCATATTTAATGATTCAGTAGTTGGAAATTCCCCTTAAATATCCTCCAGGTTATACCTTGTATTTGAGAGAGACCCGAATATGTGCTGAATACTGATTATCCCTGATCTCTTACATGGCTCAGGATTTACTACCTGGCTATGAGAAATGAGTCATATCTTACAGAAAATAATTCTTGGTCTAACTGATCATCTGTGACCAGGCATGTCTTTTAGTCTATTTTAGATTTTTTTTTTTAAATTTTTTATTATTATTTACTGCAGATTGTTTCAGTGGTAATTATGTAGTCCAGTAGATGTAGTAAAATGAAAAATATTCTAGATGGAATTGGACACTCTTTGCATTGCACTAACTTGCTTTAGGGGAAGAAGACAGGTTTTGGGACCTGTTTCTTTCCTTTGCTTGCTCTACAAAGCAAAGAATGTAAGATACAGTGATAGGCTGGTAATTCACATTTTATACTGAAATTGGAAAATTGTCTGCGCTTAGGGATGGATAATATCTTCTTTCATGCAAACCTGAAACACGGTGGGGAATGGAGTGCTGGAAGGCTGGGGAAAACTCTGGATAATTTTTGTTTAGTTTCCTGGAGGACAAGGCAACTTCACAAAGGTGCTTAATATTATCTGTGTTACAAATGCTAGAAAATATCACCAGCTGTCATGGATGGAAGTTCTATTTACAGGAATCTAAGCATCAAATGGGTATGAAGAGTGCACCTGAGAAGTAACTAGTGTTACCCCTTTTGGAGCACAGTGGTAGGAAGGAAATCGTGGAAGGAAAACTGCACTGCTTTATTCCTGTGTGACCCTTGGATCAAACAGAGAATTTTAACCTCTGAGGTAGAAAATTTTGCATTTTCATGCCAATGTGATGACTTACAATAATTTCAATGTGTAAAGTTGAAATATGTACATTCTGAGTGAAATGCTTGCAGTCACTGTCTTATGTTTCTTTTTATTCTGTGTGTGTTGTAGATAAATAGTGTTGACTGGGCAGTAATTGCTTTCCTTATAAACTTGAATTTCGTTTTCATTTAGCTTTGGAGTAAAAGGAAATTGCTTTTTTTTTTAATATATTAATATTGTTTCCCTTTGTTATTTGGGAAAGAATGCAATAACTATCTCCCAGAAAGTAAGTTGAGTCATGAGCAAACCACTTACCTGAAGTAAGAAAGAGGTGAAAAGACAGGGTCATGGTGCTGCTCAGGAATGGTTCTTACCTGTGCCTTTTTCCTAAAGAAAAATTAAGCTAAAAGCTAAATTATCCTCCTGAGAATACCTGCATCGGGCTGTCCATGCAACTGAGTTTTGACCAGACCCTCAGCTCTTCAGCAGGAAAAATATTTTGTTGAAGTAGTTTTTGACCACTTCTAATGAAAGCAGTAATTAATTTCACAGATACAAAAAATTAATGGCAAGACAAATCTTAGGAGCTAAGCATCTGTGCTGAAAATAATAAAATAGTGATGAGTCTATAGATCAGCAGGGCTTCAAGGCTCTAGTACCTGGGATTCACCTGAGAGCTCTCCAACACTTGTACAGTTACAGATTTGAAAATTATGTGAGAACACAATCTCTCTCTATAAACAGAAGGACTACCAAGGAGATGTGTATCTGAAAATATAAGTGTTGACTTTGAAATATCTGAAGTGTTTTAATGAGGAAGGCTTTTAGAAGGCATATGACATCTTCACTGTTTGGTTCTAATCACGTTGAATCTGGTGATACAAGCTGGATTTCTTCCACATGCTAAGGAGTTCTGGTTGTGTATCCGCAGTTCGGGTCCTCTTCTCACTGTAGGTTTAGCTTCGGGTTGAATGGAAGCTTATTGCTGTCTAAAAACAACCCAGCTTGGGAAAAGCCTGCTTGCAAACATGAGAAAGTAACAAAATGTGCTAATTGGTTTCTAAGGAAAAAAGCACCAGCAGTGAAACTTTTCACACGGAGTATTTTGCCAGGAAGTGTGTCAGTGTAATACACAGACCTACACTCTCTGCATCATCTGTGAATGGGGAGTTTTCACGGGGGTGGGGAGAAACCTCTGTCCCTTGCCCTCAGTCCCTGAAACACGGTATGAGCCCCTCTAGGGTTTTTTCTTCCCACCCCCGCCTCTCTTTTCATACGATGGGGCAGTCGCTCTCCATTGTTGATGGCTCCTGCGCTTATCGGGGCAGGACTGGGCAGATAAGCTATGTTATGTCAAAGCTTGCTGTAAATACTTTCGGGCGCTTACACTCAATTGAGGAAATACTGAAAACATTATTGCAGAAACCGTGTGGGAGATGTTTGGTTTCACACCAAAACAGGCCAATTTCTCTTTCTGCTTAGTTTTTGACGGCTTAAGGTGAGGGTGGAAGAAATGAACTGGAGAACTGCAGAGCAGGCGAGTCTGAAGCGCGGGAGACCAGGTGAGGCGGGCGGCGGCACGGGGGTCGCGGGGGCTCCGTGCAGCCCGGTGTCCCGGAGCAGCCCGGTGTCCCGGAGCAGCCCGGTGTCCCGGAGCAGCCCCGGGAGCGGGTGCAGCCCGGTGTCTGGGAGCAGCCCGGTGTCTCGGTGCGGGCCGGGGTTCGATACAACCCCGGGAGCGGGTGCAGCCCGGACCCCGCGCACGGAGCGGTGCCCGCCGGGCGGCGCTGCGGGCCCGGGGCGGGCGGACGGGCGGCGGCGCCTCCGCCCCTGTCGGGCGGGCGGGGAGGGGCCGGGGCTGAGCCCCGCTCGCTCCGCTCCGCTCCTCTCCGCCGGCTCCTCGGCAGGGCAGCGTCCGCCGGCGGCTCGGGGCGGGAGGCGGCGGGCGGTCGCGGGACGGCGGGCAGCGCCCTTCGGTGGCAGAGGTACAGCTCCCCCCGGGAATCCCCGGCTCCCTTTGTTCCGCAGCACCGGGGGCTCCGGCAGCCGCGGGGATGGGGAAGGGGAAGGGGAAGGGGATGGGGAAAGGGATGGGGTGGGCGCTGCAGCGGGTTGGGGCGGTGGTGTGGCGGCTCGGAGCCGGCTCTCCTGTGAGGTCGTGCCGGCGGTGCTGGGTGCGGGTGCCGAGCGCGGCAGCCCCGGCGCCTCCTGCGCGCCCCTTCCCCGCTCTAAACTGCGGCTTCGGGACGCTCTGCGAGCGTGAGGCTGCGAGAAGCGTCTGGCGGATGGCAGCGGGCTTGGGACAGCTTCATTGAGGCATGAACACGGTGCGCACACACGCGGGGACGGCCCGGGGCTCGCTCCCTCAGATATGAGAGTGTGTGTGTGTGCGTGCCCTTTGTGGGAAGAGAGGGTGGCATCTGTTTCTTCTTGTTTAAAATAATTACCCTGTGTGCGCGGCTTCGCTGAATTCAAAAGAGCGGGCTCGGCTGTGGGGCTCAGGGGAACCGTGGGAAGAGTGCTTGGTAACTTGGAGCAGGATGATGGATTCTGCTGTCGGGTAACACTTGGAGAGGAGACTTGAGGAAGGGCTCTCCAGGGCAGGGTCATTGTCCCAGAGAACTTCCCTGAGAGGACGGCATGGTAGAGCCTCCCAAGGAAGATCGCCTGTGTGCGCCCATGGAGGCTGTTGGGATTCGGTGTGGGACATCTGCTGTCGCTGTGTTTTGGGAAGGGCATCCCTTTGTTCCTCGGAGTGGCCAGACTCCCTGCTGGAAAACAATGGCCTTCCTTAGCAGAGCCACAGGGAGCGGGGCTGGCGGCACAGTCACGAAGTGGTCCAGTGCTTGCCTTGCCCATGGTACCTCTGTGCTCACGCGTCCGTGCTCACACGTGCTGTTTGCTTTTGCCGGTAATTTAAAGCTTTGAAATTTCAGACCATGTCATTGAGTCACTTGCTGTGTATTTAGGGCCGCTATTCTAGGGGACAAATGTAACAGTAACGAAATAAAAGCTAACTGCTCTTAAAATTTGTGTCAGAGAAACTATTTAAACTATATCCAGATTGGAAATGATCACTGGCGTAAAGGTCAGGTAAAACTCCTGACTTTGCGATTTTTGTGTCGAATCATGAGCCTTCCATATCCGTCTGTCCTATTGTTAATTGTGAATTAAGGCTGGCAACAAGCTGCCCATCCTTCCCTGGATGAATCATCACTTTGTCAAGCTCTGTGTCAAAAACAAGGCATTCCCCAAAAGTGTGCAGTGTTAGAGAGCAGAAATAGTCCAACCCATCTGGTAAAGTAAAGTTGAGTCCCTGGCTGATTTTAAACATATGAAAAGTAATGACATTCTTCTCATCACGTGCTTCTATTTCCAGTTGTCCCAGACCCGAGTTTAAGAATGTCTTCAATTTAGTGCTTAATGCAATGTGCTGCCTCCGGCTTAATTTTGTGTGAAGGTGTAAGGGTTGGAGCATTCCCATTCTTCCCAAAGTAAAATAAAGTCACTGCTTATGTTGGCTTGTAGCAGTTACTGGCGTGTTAGGCTGCCACAAGTTCCTCCATGTCCTTAGGATGTTTCTGAAACACCTATGTGGTGTTGGATATCTAAAAGGCTTCTGGTGCACCTTATGAGCACCATAGTCAGATAGATGTGAAGGTGAAAGAACACATGAAAGTATCTTAAAACACAGAAGCTTGCCTTTTTATCTGCCTGGGGGTTTATTGGTTGTTCTTTTGTTTGTTTTTTGTTTGTTTGGGTTTTTCTAAATTTTTTTCGGTTAGACACTTTGTTAAGTCACACCTGTGGGGAGGAACTCTGTGGAAATGATGACAGGGGCCAGTAGTTTAGCTCTGTTGTGTTAGCCCTTGCACACATTGTGCAAGACTTGATCTAATTTGCATTTAGAAGGGCAAATGTACATTGCAAACCTACTAGTGCTTCTGGGGGAAGGGAAAATAAAAGTCTGGCGAATGAGGAGAGGAAGTGGGAGAGAGCAATTGGAAACATAAGCCATTAATTTTTCCCACTGTGCAGTCTTAAGAAACTGCTGGCAACATACTGGAGATACTCTGCCTCATGGAAGTGTCAGGGACTTGCTTCACATGATTCTCTGAGATCATCTGGTTTCCCTGAGCTCTGTGGGAACAGAAATTCCTCATGTTGGAGTCTGATCTCATCTTCCTTCGGCAGCAGTAGTAGCAGCAGCTTGGGAATTGGAGAGGAAGGTGAAGAAAGTGCCAGTGGGACAGTTTGGAGAAAAGTTTAGTTCTGGTGTAGGCCAAGCTTGGACACTGTTTCCTCCTTTCATTTGCGTTGTGTGGTCAGAGCTGGGATAAATGCTGACATATCCACTAAAGTTCAGTGCCCTTTCTGACTGCTGAGCTTACTTAGCACAGCTCATATATGGGACTGTCCTATAAATCTTATATTTCATTCATCTTTTTTTACTGTACTAATGAACAGCAAACTGAAATGGAAAGTAGTGACTGTATGCATCAAGCTTGGGGAATTTCCTGAGTTTTATTAAAGACAAAAATAAAGGGTTTTTCCCTCCCTTATAGCTACATACTTAGTCTATTAAATTCTCAGAGCCTTCTAAGTAGCCTCTTCTGTTTGTTGTGAGACTACTGGCAAAAATTTTAGGAAGGCTGAAGTAGCAATGACCAGCCCTGGAGTCTGTAACTTGATCTACAGCTTTTTCTCTTCAACTGGGAAAGGAAGTAACAGCTCTTGTTACACCCTTATGTAACCTCTCCATTCATATCCTCCAAAAAAGAAGGAAACCAGAGTTTGATTTCTGGTGTATAAGCTAACATCAAGGCATGCTTTGTCATAAAGAAACAGTAAAGAATAACATTAATTTTCTTCTGTTTTGCAGTTCCCAGAATGAAAAAAAGCCCCAAAACTCACAACGCATTCAAAAGTTAAATATTTTGATTTTGCACTGATGGGATAGTGGAAATCTCTGCAACTCTTTGTCATATGCTGTGAAGCAGCTGTTAAAGAGGATACTAGAACTGCAACAAGGGTCTTTTTGTGAATCTTTCCTGGTCTATTTGAGCATTAGTCTCAAAACATTCATCCTTTGCAGTTGTGCCCCAGTTTGCTTGTGGTTTGGGAAAGCTTGGGTCTTCTGGTGTGTATTACTCTAGATTTCGGTTCTAAACAGTGTGGAAATCAGGATCTCTCTTTTTTTTTGTTTTTTTGTTTGTTTGGTTTGTTTTGCTTTTTTGTTTCCTGATAGCAGCATGGCTTTTATAGAAAACTGTACAGGAAGTTAATATTTTTGCCTCTCCCAACTCCATTTTACTTGGAAATTTCCCATTTGGTATCACCAATTAAGCTTCTATCCATTTCTTGATATATATATTTTAAGTCTGGTAGTGAAGTCACTGTGGGGTTGAGACAGTTTCAGTGAGAAAGACTAGTACTTAAAAATACAGTTTCAGAGGCAAAGAAGAATTATCAAGTCCTCTTTCCAGATGCAAACTGGTTGGGGAATTCTCCTATGCAGACTGTAAAGCAGGAGTTACAGACTCCAGAGGCCAGAACAACATCTTTTTTCCAGTGCTCCAGCTTTTGAGAGGTAAGCAATCGAGAGGTGGTCTCCAGCCTAAGTGACCAAATTTAACACTTCAGCAGACAAGCTGAAGGCTCAAGATAAGGAATCCAAATATCCGGAGTCCCAAGGAGTGAGGGTGAGAAATGTTTACTGTCCCTAAGATTTTCTTTCCTTTGCAGGGGTGGGGAGTGGGTTTATCTTTGGCTCAGGTAACCGCCTTGTCTCTGGCTTTGTGAAGTGCTGCCCTGGAATTGCTTCTTCGGTGTGGGTGTACTAGTAAACTTTTTCTTGTTCTCCCTGTCTTGGAGAGGCAGCAGCCCTTCCAAGGGTCTTATATTGGCAGAAGTCTTTATGTTGTTGGGCAGGAGGACCATGAGAGCAGAAGACTCCAGGAGGAAAGTAAGAGCATATATCAAGGAGAAAAAGAGGAATAAGTTGTGAGGAATAGGTGCTGAGTAACAGAAGTGTTGGTGGGTGTTGTCCTATCAGAAGTGCTTGTTGTGGATTTCTTTATTTTCTAAATGGAGGCAGCAAGGAAAGACTCCTTTTTCCCTGCTGTAAGCAGAAACCAGTTTTTGAAAGTCTGTGACCACAGCCTGGTCAACACTGGTACAAGTTTCCTGGGCCCACAAATATGTGTTGTACGTCAGCTCTCTTGCTGTTTGCTTTATGCTTCCTTTTCTGTAATATTCTATAATTTTTATAGCTTGTGCACTCTAAAGTGCTACTGGGGGTACTTTGAATTGCAATAAGAGTACAAATATAAAATTACAAATAAGAATAGTTAAACTGTAGGTTTTGCCACAATGGAAAAAAAGAAATAGCAACCCATTACATCCTGAAATGTTTTGTCACACCCTGAAAAGTTTCTACTCTTTTATATGCATTTTCTTTATGGAGTCTGTTCTCCTTTTGTCTACAAGTGTGTATTGGTGTTTGAAGATCTTTAAAAAGACTGGGCCTTAAGGTAACCATCAGTTTTTATGCACAGTGGAGCATATGCAGTGTCCTGATACTGTGCTTAAATCCTTGCCAGTAACCTCAGAAATGAGGAAACTGCTGGGTGATGAAGTGTTGTATCTTGGGGAAAGCACAAGCAAAGAAAGTTACGCTTACTCTCCATGTTTTAATGCCTTTGTGTTAAAACAATTTGAAGCACAATTAAGGGTATCCTTTTAGATCAAAGAGGTATCCTTAAAGCCCTTATTGCATAAGGACTCTGTGGATGGCACTGCAGTGAGAAGTCAGCTCTGCTTTTAGGAGATCTGTTAAAGGGAGTGAGTTGCTATTAATCCTCTCCACTGTTCCTCTATGAAAGCAAATAAACAACTTAATGTAGAGACACTGATGAAGAGATGAAGTGCCATTTTTTCTGGGTCTCTGGGAACCAGTTCACTGTCCACTTAATAGCTTGGCTAG